TGACCGATGTCCCAGTCAGCAAACGCATGTCTCATCGCGAAACAGCGATTATTTTCATGAATCAAATGAAGAAATAAATGAATTGAAATGCCCGAGCAGAGCTCATTTTGTAGCCAGTGTATTTCGAAAGGAGTTCACCATTCGGAGAAAAGACAACCCATGTTAAGTCTTATCTCTTTCATCTTTGCTAAGTAGTATTGAACCCCTCTCAGTTCAAGTATTGATAATATCTGAAAAAAGAACTTGCATACAAATTTATAAAATATCACTGTAATACTGTCAAAAGCTGAAAACTAAGAATATCTTCTTTGATGGAGAAGTAGTTTTTTTTTTTTTGATGAATGATGGAGAATAAAATTGAGAATCAAGATAATATCATGCAGTTGGATCAAAGCTGACTCAACTGTTAAAACGCTCAGAGATATTTATTTCATCCAAGCTAACAAAATGTTTCAAGAGAGTCAAATATTAGTTAGAACAATCCTCTAATGAATTACCATTCAGTCAGTTATTTCATTCATTCATGAATAGTTACTTGAACTAATAAGAGACCATGAACATATTTTTCGAAAACAAAGATCAAATGTTAACATTCTTTCATATACAATCCATCTTTTCTATTCATGCAGTTGGGAAACATGGAAATTCTCGGGAATTCCACTCGATATTTCCAAGGTCTTATTATTATCAATGCTGGTGTTTTCAATGAATTCATATAGTGTTTTCTGACGAGAGCACAATTGTGTGCTCTTTTTGATGACAAAATAAGACTACATAAGCCTAATATTTATGACTGTAGAAAGATAACACTTCTGTTCACTGATCGTAGTCTGAAGATAAAAACAACTGGAATTTGAGGAGTAACTTATTCTAAGTTTCGAAGGTACAAAAGAAATGAAACCATGTATATCTACACTTATGCTGTTTCACATTTATAAATCGTTTGAGCTTCAAATTGAAAAATGTGCTCATTTTTCCTGAATATCGATTTATATTCTTTCTTACTAATGAAAGTTTTGAGGTATATTTTTTGACTGATTTTACTCCTCCTACAAGTCATCGCCTATAGTAATCATTGAACTCCATAGTACTCAAAATAAAGGTAGTTCAAGAGAGTTCCGGTTATTCTTAAATCTCTTGAGGTTGAAGTGGAACGACCTCTCTGGAATAGAGGGTTGAAGTCTGTTTAAATCTGGGTCGAAATACAAATAACATATGAACATTGTCAAACAAAAATTGTTTTAAAATACAGTTTGCTATTCAAAATTTCAAAGTTGAAGGTGCACCAAGTCAAATGACACCCTTTATGAAGATACTTTGAACAAATTTCGAAAGTTAATTGAGAATTATCGTGACAAAGAACGAATAGATTCATTTATCAGTTGGTTTAACTCTCTTGCCAATGGACGTCATTGTCGACTCCAAAAAGTTACATCTCAATGACGACCCAAGAGATATTTCAGCTGGTGGTGACAGTAACCTAAGATAAATTCAATGTTGAAACATATTGGAATAAAAAAGGCAACTAGAAAGTAGCAATCACGAGCAACTCTCAATGCAGCAATTTGGGATTAGATTATTTTGGAATATTGTTCCCATATATTAAGCTCCGTCAATAGTACATATAAGCATTCCGGCACTGATTCTGAAGGGAAACTAGTAAGACATCACAAACAACCTCAATAGTCGAGAAATGAAGGAAAGTTGGGGATTTGCATTTCTATTGGTGAATGTTTGACACAACTTTTGAAAACTCTCCTCATTCCTCAACAAAATGATGTTTTTTTAAAAAAACAACAAGGCGTCTTGGGAATTTCAACTAGTGCTTGAATAAAATGAAAAAATGAAAAAGTTAACTGAAAAAGTCTGTCAAATCAAGATGTTATCCAAATTTATTTATTTTATATTGACAAGTGAGGTTAATAACTTTTTACATTCTTTAATATATAAATTAAGTTAATAAGTCTGCTACACATTCATAATGAGTACATATTGAAATATTACTGTTTGACTCGACATTTGAAGTACAAATTACGAGTATACCTAATAGGGGTCATTGAATAAATGTTCATCTTCGAAGAGAAGAGAAAATTGTCCTCAATCAGCTAATTATTTGGCAGATTGTCACAAGTAGTTAAGACTCTGAATTTAGATAGATGTGTGTAATATGGTCGTGTCTGACCTTTACATTTGTCCCTAAGGTTATTTGCTCACGATCAAGCTAAATCGACATACGGCAATGGAATTTGATAAGGTAAACAATTATATTAGCCCCAATACTCGTACTTGTTTCGCTCTGACTCCTGGGATAGGTATTGCGAAAATTAACATGAAGCATGGAGAAATGATCAAACAAAAAACGTAAGCATATTCAAACACTTTATAAAAGTTAGAGGGCTGCCAAAAATGCATATATGAGAATATTTTGATTTTTGGAATTCTCCAAAGGTGTTCTTTATTTCTTCCAGACTATAATTACTCACATGATCCCAATTTCAATGTGCAATATTGAGTGTCGAATGGAAATAATTGAAGTTCCCTGGTACATTTAATTTTAATCTTAATTTTCTTGGACAAAAGAACATTGCCTTCTTCTCCAAATCCTCGCCAAAATACTGTCTCCTCAAATATCTTCTCCCCATTGAAAGTGGTTATTTTGGGTTCCCAAACCTGACCAGCAACAGCCCATTTTCTGGTGAGTTCATTAGCTCCCAGTCTAGGATCGACCCATCTTTGGTTTAGAAGTCCATCTACTTCAATATCCTAAAATAAAAATCAGTTAGGCAGTTAGAGTGTAAAAAACCGATTAAAAATGAAAACATTCATTTCATACATTTCTGTACGAATAGGCATTGAGAGAAGAGTTGTCGAAGTGTACCCTTTGATAGATTATACTCGATTCTAGGAACATGATGCAGTTCCCACTCTATCGATCCAGACAGACGCTTTTTTTGTGTGAAATATACTCAGAGTAAGTTGCGTTTTCAACAAAACAGTATTCTAACGAAGTCGCAGATATGTCATGTTTATCATCAATCTGACTGCACGGAAGACATGCATCATGCCACCAGTGGAAATAGCGCATGCTACTTTTTTCAAGAACAAAACTCTAGTTCTACTGAAAAATTCGCGAGGCGCTCTGAGAGCGGTGCCTGTTCGAAAGTAGCGATTCACATTGGATTTGAATCGCTGGAGATTAAATCCATTTGGAGAAATGTTCTCAGGAAGTTTCTTCCAAACGAACTCAGTTCTCCAGATGATACAGTGAAGTTTGAGGTGTACTGAGTTGAACCTCAAAACAATGAGCAGCCACAGTCCGTCGCGTATTTTTTAATATGTACCGCTCTTGGTGGATTCATATGTGCCAAGTCACTTGAACATTTTCCCTGAAAATATATATAGGAGAGAGACAAATCTCTAACCTTTCTTCGATGTTCCAGACTATCAAGGTTGCAAGTGATGTTCACGTCTCTAATCAGGCGGATGGCTTTTTTCTGGATGGAATCCAGCAGCTTCAGGATATGCTTAGGGGAGGAGCTCCATATATGAGAACAATACTCCAAAGAAGCTCTGATCTGAGCTTTATAAGGCCTCAAAAGTTGCTGAGGTGTGTACAGTTTTCTTGTTCGGAACAGTGTTTCAAGCTTTTGAGAAACAGCCTTTGCAATTCCAGCGACATGATTCTGCCAAGACATATTGGGGTCCATTTTAACCCCCATCAAACTTATCGAAGCAGAAAGTGGAATTGAGTGATGTGACATTATTATATCCGGTTCGGGGACATTTATCTTTTTGGAGAAAACCGATGCCTGGGTTTTTGTGGCATTGAATTGAAACTGGTTACTTTCACCCCAATTCGAAATTACTACTAGATCCTCATTAAGATATGCAACCTCCTGCTGCCGGTAAAGATGTGCATCCGCGACGTTCTGAAATCCGAATGGAATGACGAGATAAGTGTGCTGTCGTCAGCAAGGCAATATAGTGAATTCTTGTTTTTTTTTAATAAGTCGTTGATATACAACGTTCCTGGGGAACACCAGCGTTAATGGTAAACGTATTCGAGATATATCCATCGACGGCCACTTGCAGGGAACTTTATTTCAGGAAGCTAGAAAGCCATACACAAAAATGATCCGACAAGCCATAGCATCGAAGTTTGGCCAGCAAACCCTCATGCTACACACGGTCAAAGGCCTTAGAAATATCAAGTGCAACATCTCTTGATTCTCCATGTTTCTCGATTGCGTTATTCCAAATATAGGTGATATACGATAGAAGGTCGCCTGTTGATCTTTATTTTCGAAAGCCATATTGATGATCGCTCAAGATGTTGAAGCCTTCCAAATATTTGAACATATGGTGGTTTACGGATCTGATATCACTGAAAGCAAAGCGATTGGTCTATAGTTATTTGGAAGATTTTTCTTGCTCTTTTTGGGAATAGGTTGAACGCGAGTAATCTTCCAACAAGAAGGAAAAACCCCTTTTTTGTAAGACAGGTTAAAGAGTTTGCAAAATGCTGGTGCAAGTTCATTCGCTCACTTTTTGAGTACGATGACGGGTACTTCATCAGAACCAGACGTCTTGTTGATATTGAGCGTTTTCAAAACTCGTCTGACTAAACGTTGTCGGAAAGTATTTCCGGCTTTGTGGATTCTGGTGTGGAAATAGTGGGTGGTGCCTTTTGGAGAAAATCGACTGTAGAGTGGGACGCAAATTGTTCAGCTAGTAGATTTGATTTTTTCTATGGATGTTGTTCCTATTGAACCATTCACTTGTGTTTATGGTGAAATTGGATTTTGTAAAGTTTTGATTAACAGCGTTAGCTACCGACCAGAAGAATCTACTACTGTTGTGATTGACAAGCAGTTTATCCCTAATTTTATGGTTGCGAAGTTCTTTTGTTTTCATTTATCCTGAGTTCGCAGTTGTTGCGAGCATTAACAAATCTAGTTCGGTTTTCGGCACTGGGATTTTTGCTCTACTGCCGGAAGGCGATATTTTTGAAGGTGACAGCTTGCTCTCAATTTTTGTTGGACCAAGGTTTTCTGCTAGATATTTGTTTCATTGAAAAAGGAATGTATGCAATCATGGATGATAGAAAAACTTTACTTCAGAAACACAAATAGATGGATCTTTAGAGCTGAAACGAACATCTAGCCAGGGAAAATTTTGGAAATGGTCTTGAAGATCCTCCCACTCAATGGCTCAGATGGTTTCTCAACATTTATCGGTAATTTACACACTACTGAAATAAGTTTGAGATCAGAAGATCCCAATGGAGACATAATGGTGACTGTGGAAATTTCTGGATTGGCTGTTACGCTCCTGAAGCAGCTATTACTGGATCTAGTGGATGTATAATTACAGAAAATTCGAGGAGACTGACATTCACAAATTGATATCACTATGAACAATGTCCTTATGATGCACTGTTTGGAACCTTTGGTGTAGTAATGAATATTACTGGAGTTTTTTCCCAACACCAAATCGTTATTTTTAACAGACATTTCCTCTTTGAAGATGATCACTTGGTGATCGAAACACGTGTCGAGGTGTTGAAAATAACGATTTGGTGTAGGGAAAAAAAAACTTCAGTAATATTCATGAGCAATGTCGTTCATGCTCTTTATGAACCTGAGTTTTCGCAAACTACCTGTCTGGTTATGAGATATGAATAGTTTGTACATGAGATGAGAAGTCGACCAATAGATCAAACTAAGTCTTTGAATTAGGGGGTGCTGCCAACTCATTTGCTAGATTACAGATGTCAGTAGTTGCAAAAGAAACAATTCTGAAGTGAGCAAAAGAACATCAAATTCTGTAAGAAGCTTTCCAGTTCACATCAAGATCCTTCACGTGTTATATATTATCTGCCATCTACTGTCAGGCGAAACCCTTCAGGAAAGATATTTATGACCACTGGAAACAACTGGGGGTTCGAAAAACTTTGCTGCTTCAGTCTCGAATGGACTGAACACATGGTGGAAAAAATACCTAACAACCACCTGTACATTTTATGTACATTTTATGTGATATATCTACCCGCTTTAAGAGTTTAAAAAAATTGCTGACTCTTTCTCTCCCTCTCTCTCTCTCTCTTTGACTCATCGACAGATGAGATCGCAGGTACAGTATAAACATAACTTCTCTAGTTGATCCCAAATTAGGTCACAAGATATTCAGGAAGAATTGAGGATTGGACTGTAAAATTATAAGGGACGCCAAGTGAAAGAAAACAAAATTTCTGAATTGATAACCAAATGCCTTTTCAAAATTGTAATGTGAGCGGTAAAAGTAAAATTTGATGTTGAATAGTATCTATAGCAGTTCAAATATCACTTACCACAGGAGTAAAGTAGGATGAAAGCACATTTTAACATGTAGTAATACAATTCGGTAGATAAACAAAGCAGGAGTAGTTTGATGACAGGGAGGAAAACGATGTTGTTTGCTTTACCACTAACGGTCAACTTGTCTCTCCTAGACACGTACACACTCGAGTCTGAAGTGCTAAGGGAGTACAGGCGGGAAAAAACTCTGGCAGCAGTAGAATGTAAACGAAATAAGTGAAATAATAATGAATATCAACCCGATAATTGTAGATGCAACAAACAAAAAAATGTAACTCAAGTAAGGATGTGATTTGAAGTAAACAAATAAAAAAAAATTAAATAAACGAACGAGGACGAACCACTCTTCAACAATATATCTGAAAATATATGTTATATATCAGATATCTTGAAAATACCACTTTTCAAAATATTTTTTCATCAAGTCTATTTCCTCCAGGAAAAAGTATGCGAAACTTAATTTCCAATATGAAAATAACAATATTGTAGAGTGTACCATAAAGTTTATTTCTTGGTACTCTTATTTGTCATCTATACATCAATTCTAATCAAGTGTTTTCAATTTTCTCAAGGCAATTGTATGCTGACGGTACAGATCTTTATAGGTATTTTTTGTCGAACATGGTCAATAATTATAAAGAGATACTCGTTAAAAAAGCTCCTCACCATTGTTTGATTATGAACTGTGGTCCATCTGGTGTTATTGTTTTAAGTTTCAATAACTTCAAAAGTAGTATATGTATTTCGGTTTGTATTATAATTGATGATAATTTCAGATGGTGTGGTTTTGGATGCTGGATTTAAAAAATATTTCAGTCAACTTATCATCATTTTCTTCGGTCTGAGTCAGGGCTTGTTCTTATCAAAATCCATCCATGTTGATGTTTTATATTGCCAGTGCTTGACTAGTAGTGTGAAAAAATGAATACAACAGTTCAGAATTTCTGTTTATGATTCATCTTCTTCCTAGTAGAGAAAGAATTTGACACAAGCTGAGAGACTTTGGCAGATTGAAAAAAAATAAAGCAATTTTCAAATAATTTTCCATAAATTATCAACAAAATGCTATTCCATCTTTACAGGAAAGATGTTCATAACCTCAAAATTAGTCATAAAGGTAGGCTAATTTCGCCATTTTATTCTTTGAAACTTTTTCGACGGAGTTACCAAATTTATGTTATCTACAGTGATATACCTGACTCAATAAAACGAGATACACTGCAATACACCAAACTCTTCTTTGAACTTTCTATATTGTCTAGCTAACAGACTACCTATATGAACACCTATCTAGAAACAATGTCATTATATTCAATATATTTTTGAGTAGTATATTTTTGGTTTTGTGTTAGTAACATTTCACATCGAAAAAAAAGAGATGCATTCGAATAACATGAATGATTTTTTCACTTTCGTATGCGATATAAGGGTGAGTGGGAGAGCAATGTAACAGTGATTTTTTTTTCTTTTCGGATAATCACTGTTATTTCCACTTGATGAACAGAATTTGAAACCTTCAACGTGAAATGAGTCTATTGAAAACACTTTCCTCACACCAGAACAAAATGCTGTATCTCGACGCGCCTTTCACTAACCAAGTTAGCATCATTAGGAAATGATTAAGAATTAACCCTAAATTACTTTCTTCAAAATGAATAAAAAATCAATCGCGCTCGAGAATGTCGAGGTGACGATTTTTTTGCAAATTAATGATCGTTCCACTCCTTCAAGTGACACTCAAATCGTCAGATTCTTGCCATTATACCCTTATCTGACGCGTTGGAGTATTCCAGAATATCGATTTTTTCAAACTATACTCATCGACTGCCGTACACGGGCGGCCCCACATAGAGGGTGAAGGTACTCAACAGGGTGCAAGGTATCCCCCTCATGTTAGTTTGCCTTGCTTAAGTATATCCCCCTATTAGTCTCCCCTACTGTATAGTAGTATAGTATAATCCTCGTAACAATTGTTTGTACTCTCAGACCGAAGATTATATTGAAAAAAAATAGTTTGTGCCTTACCTACAAGGAGATGTAATGTATGTAGAGGTTCCATCATTTCTATCTCTTTCGATAAGCTTCATTTTATTGAGTATCTTATCTAAACTATGGATTATATGGCTTTGTTAGTGACCCCATTTATTTCTGCGACAGACACTTTTGACATAATTTCACAAAAGTTCTAAATGATTGAATGAAGTTAGAAAACTATTCATCTATGGTGCCAATGACATTGGTCATTAGTCTCTTCAGTTTGTATGGTAATGAAGTAAAATAACATACTTACTAAATTTTTATCTTCAACGACAGATTCTTCAATAATCAATGACACATTAACAATTGTTGTAAAAACATCGTGTACCCAAGGTTGTGTCGTTTCTAGTAATCCTGGTTCAGTTTTTGTCGATAATGCCGTTCCAATCAACATAAAACAGTCGAAATAGCTCTTATTTTTCATTGCTTTAAAAATCCATATATCACATCTGGATATTTCAACCAACTGAACTATGAGATATGTTCATATGAAATTATTTCATCGTATGGTAAAGTAATTACGAACTGTCGAGTTGTATCTTCAATGTGAGTGCGGGGAGGATCAGGGATTTATACTATTTAAAAATGCAAGATCATACAACTCGTAGTAACAAATGAATGAAGGTGGCCCATTGAATACAGTGTGTTAATTTCGAAAGTTTCCGGTGGAAATATCTTTGAAGTGAAGAAATGTATCATTAAATCCAAAACAATCCCCCAATCACCAGAAACGTAAAAGAGGATTTACAAAAATAAAAAAACTTGGTTTGGTTTCGAGCACAAACTCGAATTTTACCAAACAGACAAAAACTAGTCTGAGTCGCGTGTTTTGTTGGGAAATATTTTCTATACTTTCTACTATACGAACAGTATTCATCTTGCCTTCTTTAGACCAGAGAACACCTATATATAGAATAAAACGTCCTGTGGTAATGTTAGAAACTGATACTAGGGCTATAGTTGTCCGTTAACTTTTGGACGATTCGGCGCGTCAACTGCTGGACAAAAGGAGAACTATCGGCAAATTTAAAATACTATGGCCACAGATTGAATAGCAATGGATAATGGTTATTGAGCAACGACCAAGTATTGTCCATTGCTCAATAACCATTATCCAATGTTCTCTGGATTGAAAAGTATAAAGGTGAAAATGAATATGAATCAAAGACTCCCATAAGAAGCTAAAATGTATGAGTCCTGTATGCAAGTTCGTACTTGAAGTAAGCTGAACAAAAGTTTATTTTGTGATATTCAAAACTAGGTTTAATAATGAATGATGATGAAGAAATGAAAATTGTTAAAGCATGTAATACAAATTTATTTCTAGGATCAGACGAGCAACGTCAACATTAAAATTACAAATAACACTAGGATCTAAAAACAGTCGATATTCCAAATACATACACAGATAAGATTGTAATGATAACAAGAGAATTACAATGGCAGAACAACAATTCTCAAATAAACCAGCTATCAACGGAATATAAACTTGAATTTGGAAAAATTATAGTTTTACTAGACAGAAAAAGTAGCTTCATATGAGTGCCAGTAGCATTAAAAGTAGAATGTAAATGTGGTGAATTGGTTCAACGTTATAGTTGAATATCAGTAACATCGTTCATTTCCTGTTTGAAAGAAAAATATATTTTTTGGTTTTGTGTTGTTATTCAAAATTTTTTGTCAGCGATAACCTTAACAGAATCTGGATTTAGAAAAGTGTTTAAATAAACGATAAATTTGAATTCCATACCTTCCATAATTTTGTTGAAATGCACCTACAGCATCGTATGATGAATTTGCAAACAGTGTCAGCAGAATTATTGTGATCTTACAATAAATTAGATCGAAATTGACATTTTGTTTTAAAAATGTCTGTAACTCACCACATATGTTTTTAAAATGACAATATCAAGGAATTAGGATATAGAAGATAAGAAAAACACTGACTAACTGAAAAATGATAAAACTACCAGTTTTAACTAATTGGGAACTTGTGGAATCTTTTCCTGCTTGTGTGAAGTCATCGTTTTTCAATACTTCATTATGACTTTTATGAATTTGCACCTTCGTTTTATTGTTCAGTAACAGATTGTTAACATTTTCCATACACAATTCAAAAAGTTCAGGCTGATCGAGGAAACCGATGACGTTTACTCTGCAAACCATTACAGTTTGTCACACAACACATCTGGGGGCGAACACTACCTGCCTTCATTTTCACAATCAAACACACGAATAACGAAATCGGAGATGTTAGCTCAGGATGTTTAAACCTCTGGCAGTTAGCCACTCGTATCAACGAAACGTCAGGAAGAAATTCCAAAAAGCCACGGCCTTCAAACTCTGAAAATAATAACAATGATTATTTGTAGTATGTATCTATCAAGTAACTGAGTAAGTGAATTGGTTAAAAGTTTCAAATTTGAATTTCAGAAAAAGAAGTAAGTTGGTGTTCCATTGCAAGATCAAGTTGTTTGATAATATTTCTATAAATGATGTCACAATGCCACCCGCTTTATGCCATTGAAAATAGAATTTCATATCCTACTTTAAATGGTTTGAAAAATATACAGGGTATATTCTTGACTTGAATTCATTTCCGGGTAAACCGAAAAAAGTTTTCAATTGTTTTTTTGTTGAAAATATGTTCATTCATAATTTCAATTTTCTTATCAGTGGACAGGGTATATTCTTGACTTGAATTAATTTCCGGGTAAACCGAAAAAAGTTTTCAATTGTTTTTTTGTTGAAAATATGTTCATTCATAATTTCAATTTTCTTATCAGTGTAAAAACTGAATGGTGCTATGTACAATTATTTCGTTGTTATTTGGTATACCAATCTATCTCTAAGCATGCAGTCTATCTATCTGCAGTTTGTGTCTTCAATCCCTCTTTATCTCGACGCCTGTATATTTGATCCAAGAGACGTGTCATCAAATACAGCGTGAATATTCGAGAAAACAGCTGAACATACTTCATTTTCCTTTGAATCTTTATTTCCGTTACCCGGCATAAAGTCGCGTACTCGTATTGGTCTCAATGTAGTGGTCATGTAGCCGGTGCTTTGTCCCTAATATGCCTGTCAAGAATATTTTCTAAGGTCATTATAGCAAATGACATGAGGATGGTTGGTCTCAAGGACTTTGTAGCGTCGGTCCTGTATGATTTTTCCAGGTTTCGAAATGGAGACGACTCTAATCGACTCTCAAGAGGTCACACAATTTTTGAAGTAGATGTTGCGGCAGGATGAATACACAAAGCACAAATAATGATTTGATATTTGATTGACGACATTGACGTATGACCGTCGGATAGTAGGGAATCTGTTTTACCCACAGAAACAGATTTTTGATAGCAGCGCCATATCGGATCGTTAACAGAACTAAAACCAATTTCTGCTAAGGCCCATTTTTTGAGTTTTCTCTATAAATACGTGCTTTGGGCTCTAGACGACGTTGTATCAGCTGAAAGGGCAAGGGAGCTGGGCCCGCGGTTTTATTATAATCGGATATTTCAAGCGCATGCGAAAAAACCAAGATACTAGATGAAGTCATGGTTAAAAAGACGAATAGATTATAGAATGGATAAAATCGTGGCAGATTTGACAAATGATAGCATAGGAATGAATGGAACTGAGATCATTGTTTCGTAACTTTCTAAGAATTCTCCAGTCACGAATTTGAGAACTTGCTGAATTAACTTAGACCAAAAAGTATACGAATAACAGATATGTTTTATCTAAATAGTTGTTTTCGCTAGATACTATATCTTGAAAACAAGAGCTAATATATAATTTTTATGGTCACTTTCGGTTTTAACACGTGGAAATACATTAAAATCATCTAATTTCAACCCCGAAACAAAAACTTTGTTGTGTTGTGAATTATCTGCGCTTTCCTCTTTCCGCTTCACCGGTTTAACGGGAGATGACCATTTGGCGGTCATTTCATTTAAGGGTTTTTTGCTTAGTATAATTGTTATTTTCAACTACTCTTTTTCAATTTATTTTTATTGATTCTTTCAGGGATTTCAAATCATTTTATACAATATTAGACAATGGAAATCCAAACTAATGAACAATGTGAAACATTGTCAATTACCTTCAATCAAACTCAAGTTTTTGTTTTGTCGAAATCGATACAGTTATTGTTTTGTTGTAGTTTTGTCCATTTGGTGGAAATTATATTAGAAGTTCGTTCCTTCATTTTCTGAAAAAGTGTAATTGACAAATTTTTATTTGAAAGAAGATAGACAACCTCTGTCAACTAATTCAACTCTAAATTGTATTTGAAAACAGTATGGAAAAAAATGCATACTTCCAATACAATTGACCGAATATACTCAACTATGAGTATGTATGAACATTCGGAATACTTCTATTGGAAAGTTTTGAATTATCTCAAAAAAAATATTTACAACTCTAGCTATACAAATATCCACTGTGAATCACCAAAATGTAAATGTCGATCAACGTACGATGTGGATTGAATTTACGTCATTCACTGATTTGCACATTTTTTCTGAAAATATAGTTATCTGTCACGCAGAAAGATTAGACAATATGGTTACAAAATTTTATCAATACCAATTAGATCGAAGGTTAATAAAAATTGCTCACCTTGTAAACATTTATTTTTCTATAGAGACAGACTATTTTCTTTTCAAATTGTTTTAAAATAATTTCTAATGCAATTTACCACTCGCAGAACGGCTTTTGAACTGGAATGATGACGGTAAAGTACTTAATTATTACCATTTAAATTCAAGTCTTATTTCAGCCGGTAGCGCAAAATTTATAACTAGAAATTGCCCTTTTCTGTCTCTAATGTTTTTTGAAGTTTTACCAATTGCGGTAATACTCACATGTGGTAATACCAACTACACTAATGTAACAATGTACCTATCCTCATAAAAAATCTGATGAATTACTTTGAATATATAACAACGTATACAGGCTGTTTGTTTTATCATGTGGTGACATTGCTATATCCTAAACCGTAACAGATACGAAGACGATTAAATGGGAAAAAAGGTAACTGTCATCGGAAACAATACAATGATCGAAGAAAATTTACGGGGACTCTCGCCCTTCTCGAGTTACATGGGGAAAACCAAAAATGCTGTTTTTCGTTATTTTCGAATGGAATTGTTATTTCGGAGAATATCAAAAAATGGAAAAAGAAAATGTTATTGTATCCGAAGTGTACTATGACGATGTAATAATAAATATTCGATAAAACGTCAACATGGCCACTATCAAATTTGTTTTTTTCAAATACGGACCTGTCTTTTCAATTACAGATATTAATAAAGCGATAAATTCACAATCCAAGGATATATAACATTTTATATTTTTATAGCGATCCATTTGAAATAGCCACCATCATCAGTGACAACAATCAAACAGAAAAACAATTTATTTTATCATGAACTTTTGGGAGAAATGAATCCAATTTGAAAATCAAACTTACATGGCAATCTCCATTGAATGCTCGAATTGGCGACCT